ATTGTACTTTTAAATTGTAGATCAGTTGATCATAGATGGTAGGATGCCTTCAAATTATTAGATTGGGCTAGATCATGAAATCAATTAGAATGATATACAATTAATTTTATATTGTTTACATGGTTTAATTTTGTTCAACTTTATTATCCTTTGAATCCACTTGGAGCTAATTATGTATCATGAATAATTTCTCTGTGAGTAGTCCATACTGATAAAATTGCTTCAGGTGTACCAATACCTGCTCCTCTTGGATCACCACATGGTCCAAACCAATGATTTTAAGGAGCACCTGTAGTTCTTGCTCTTATACCACTAAAAATATTATCATCTCTATTTACCTATATGTTACTCCATTTGTTGTATTTGATTAAACATATCTTAAGAAATTTACATCATTACTCACTATACCAGCTGTTAAATGATTCTCAAACTAATTTATAATTTTTAAAACATCATCTATTTAATTTGAAGAATATGTTGTAACAATCTAAAATGGTCCAAATAATTCTTTTGTCACCTATTTATTATTCAATATTTCATTTAATGGGACATAAACAGCTGTTGCCTCATATGCACCATAAACTGATGGAATTTAATGATTTTTTAATTCTTAACCACCAAACAATATTTTAGTTCCAGGAATTTCTAATATAGATTTAATATGCTATTCTATTTTAGAATTATTCCAAGTTATTATTGGACCTAAACTTAGATCATTTAAATTTCTCGTACTAGCTAATTGCTGAATTTTATCTAAAAACTTTGCTTAAACCCAATTCTCATGAACAAATAGAATACTTTATGCTGAACATTTCTAACCTGTACTTCCATAAGCATCTTAATCAGATTACCAAGCAACATAATTTTAAGTATCTACATCTGGTACATCTGGACCAAGTATTTTCCAATCAAATCCAGCATCTTCAATTCTTATCTTTCCATTCAATACTTTTGTTAAATGTTCAGCAATAATAGATGATCCTGTAAATTATGTCATACGGAAATTTCCCTTTTTTAAAATATATTCAGTTTGTTTTCCATCTGCAAATAACATATCTATATCTTTTTCTGGTAAACCACAATGTAATGCCAATCTTAACATTTATTCCATTACTACATTTACTCTATTATCTCCTTTGAAGAATACTTTATTTCCTGTCATCAATGCACCAAATATTTATAAACTTGGTATTTCTAGTGGAAAATTAAATGGAGCTATTATTGCACAAGATCCATAAGGCCATCTATATCCTGTTGATTATTATCCATCACGATCTCCTGCTACATTAAATGATCTTGTTAAAAAACGAGGTTAATCACCACTAAAATTTTAAAAAAATCTTTCTGTCACTACTACTTCTCCTGATGCTTATGCATAATGTTTTGGCACAACTCTTTAAATCAATTTCACAAAAAAATCATGAACTTCTTTTTTTTTTAATTCTGCTGCTATTTTATGACACACTTCTCCATAAACTTAATACCTTTATGGATTTTTTAATGGATTATGCAATCCACTAATTGGACAATCTTTTGCTGATTTTATATATTCCTATAGTAAGTCTTTATCTTAACTATCTGGAACTTAAATAAATGGCTCACCATTAAGAGGATCTATTATTTATTCATACTTATCAGAATTAATCCATTTTCCACCCAAAAAATTTTATACCTTATAAGAATTTCTAGATGATCTAATTTATTATATGACTTTTTTTACAATTAATATGGGTCTAGAGTAAAATATGATGGAATTGAAGAAAAAGATGCGATATTTCTAAATTTTTGCATTTTATTTATTATTTATTTGTGTCATCAAATCGAGATAAACAGAGAATTGCTTACATAATATAAAATATATAATTATAATATGAAGTATCATCTTATTTTAGTAACATTTGAGTGTAATTTCCGAAAATTGATATTGGGTTTTACTGATCCTTTTGGACTAAAAAATGGTTTAGATTACACATTTTTTGTCTCTGGATTTCCTCTACTACTTTGTATTTATAATTGCTATGATTATAAAATTTTTGTTGATTCCATCATCACATCAATAGGTTTTGGTTATTTCTTTTTATACTAAGCAAACTAACTTTAATTATTGCCTTTTTAAACATTCTCTTAATTTATTATATTCTTTAAAACAGGTTTATTCTGATTTTAATTTTATTAAACATAAGGTTAAATTCTTTGATTTAAAAAATTCTAATAATTGACTGATTAATAATGTTGCATTAATATATTTCTTATATTTGACTCTTTCTGAATTCTTGTGCTAGACAGCCTAGTCGATCCTGATAAATTTGAATTTTTATTAAAAGACACAATTTAATTAAACTGTTTTATTTTTACATTCTCATCAAAAGCTGATTACTTTTGATGCTATTCCATTTCTAATAGAAATTAAGTACTCTTCTACTATTTATTAAAAATATTATATTCTTTTAACATATCAACAAATTACATTGTTGTAGGTTTCGAATCATTCAAATCTTTCAAAATGGGATCATAGCTAATCAATTTCATCTTTAGAAATTAATTTACTAAATTAAATTTATTAGTAGAATATTGAGTCTATTATTTTTATTATAGAATTCTTTATCTTAACTTTCTTTTTTTTGTATAATTCTTATCAACTAAAAGATCTAAACTTATAGGTTCTAAAAAATATCTCGGAGCATTCAAATATTATTGATTTATAAATATTAGTTTCTTTAATTTATTTTTTACTTCCTTATCATGATATTTACTCAAATACTCTTTACATTCAAAGTATTCTTTATCATAAATGTGAATAATTGATGGTTTACCTTAGTTCATAATTATCATATTAAGATTATTAGTATAGTAGTAATTTTGAGCATAGGAATATTTATTATACAAAGATGCATGCATAGCTTTAAGTATAACTTATGAGGAAGAATTTGGCTTAATAGGTTTCTTATTATATTCTGGATTGTAGGAAGTACCTTATTGAAAGAGTAGTATCATAAAAAAATTAATGTGTTTTTCACCAATTACTTTAGTTCATTTTTATATAATAAAATTATACTTAAAATTCAATTCTAAATATATAATTAATTTTCAGATTTTACCTTGAAAATTTAAATTCTCATGATCTAAATAAATCTTCATTTTGTTTGTTAAGTGTCATCTAATGAATAGAATCCTGAATTTCAATTTAATTTTGTTCATCTAATTTAAATCTTTATGAATTTTAAGCATTTCCATCATAAGAATTATTAGTGTTCTCTTTATCTTCTAAGTAATATTAATTATTTTGTTTACATACTTTAAGAAACAAATATAGAACTTAAAAAATCTGATTAGCTCTTCTTAGATCCTCTTAAATTATTTTTTGTCAATTATTATTAAATCTGTTAAAATGATTATTCGTTTAGAAATTATTGATTTTAATTTTGATATTTCTTCACTTAAAAAGTTAGCAAATTATCTGATTAAATTATTATATTGCTACTAAAATTTTAAATTTAAGCAAATTCTTATTTATTGTTTTGAGTTAAATTGATTTAAGGATTAACATTTTATTAAGATTTCTCATCAAACTATGGTTCCCTAAGATATGAATTATTTAATTCAGTATTAATAATTTACTTCTTTTCATCTTATATATTGCTACTCACTTTTTCATTTAAATCATTATTAACCTCCTTGTTTTCATTTTATTATTCTACATGTAAAGTATTTTAGAGATTCTCATTCATGTTTTCTTTATCTTCATATTTGGTTAATTTTTCTTCAGGATTAGCTTTTTGAGTCTAACCAATTTTTGGTAATCCAGATTTAATATCAGATTTTTATTAGTCATTTGCATATATTAATATGTCTTTGCTTAAATAGATTTTAGATTAAGAGGTTTCAGAGGTTAAATTCAAATCAATTGATATTTCTTATGGTTCTGCAGGTATTGATTTATCAAATTTTTCATCTAATGTATTTTCCTAATTACCTACCGAAAAATCACTTTATTAAAAATTTTCTTCAGATTTTATTTAATAATCTTAATTGTCTTATTTATAATCATCATTTTGTTCATATAATTTTTGATATGTTTCAACTATCATTTCTTCTGTATTTTCAAATTGTTCAATATTTCCTTCATCATAATTTACTTCTGAAGAAATAATTAGTTCTTAACCTTCATAAGGTCGAAATTAAGTTTAATCATTAATTTCTTATTCATTATTTATGAAATTTTAATCATTTTCATTTTGAGTAACCATTTCTTGTAATTAATTTTCATGAATTTAAAGTTGTTTATTTATCTAAATTATTTATTATTCTTCATTTTATTCTGAATCGCGTATGAATTTTTCTTTTTCTTCTATGTCTTTTAATTAATTTTCATCTTCTTATTTAATAATTTTTAACTATTTTAAATACTCTTCTTCTTATTGTAATTTATTTTATAGATTCTACTACAATACAGAAGATTTTTCATCATTTTGAATATCTTTTAAGTAATCATCTGTTTCAACGTTATTTTAAATAATGTAACCTTAATGTAAGGAATCCTAAGTTTTTTGTTGTTAATAATCTTTGCTCGAACCTTAATTATCATAATCATTTAGATTATTTTAGGAAGTATTTTAAGGATTTGATAAACTTTCCTACTCTTAATTTTTATTACTTAATTCTTCTATATCTTAATTATTCATTTGATTTTGATTAATATTATCATCATATTCTTTCAAGGGTAATTTTTATTTTAAATATTGATTTTAAGAAGAGTCTATTGTTTAATTAATAGTATTAGAAGTGGAATTATCATAATTTAATTAATCATCCTTTTTGCTTAAGCTATTAATTATATCCTCCTAATTATTAGATAGATTAATATCTAAAGGTGAATCGCTGATATAACCTGTTTCATTACTAAAAGTTTTTTAGTTTTCAGTAATATTCTGAACTGCTTCTTATATTTTAGATTCCTCTCTATTTTAATAATTATCTTCTCCTTAATTAATTTATGGATTAACATTACTAAATTTTTCCTAAGAAATTTAGGTAACCTCTTCTTCTGGATTTACAATATCATATACTTCATAATCTTCGCTTATTAATAATTATGATTATTATAAATCTTTGGATTATATATCTTATAAATTTTGATATTCATTAGCATTTAATATTTCTGAAACATTCTATTCTAAAGCATTGGATGAAACATTCTTAATATTTGTTTACATCAACATATTAAAATCTTCTAATTCTTAATTATTATTTTGAATCATTTGAGTTTGCAAATCTACTAAAGTTTAATCATATTTGTTTAGTTATTTTTGTTTGATTAAAGAAATTTAATTATTTTATTCAATTCCAAAATCATAGTCGACATCTTAATATTTATTTGATAGATTTTAAGTAGTAAATCTATAATTAGATTGAATGATACCCTGCGTTATTAATTAATAACACACAAAACAAAATGACATATTTGGAAATATTCATTAGGCGTTTTATGTTTATATTTTTTTAATTTGTAACAAATATAATAATATTAAATATATCAAAGCAAATTCCTTACTTTTCATTGATTTCCTATTGAAATTTTCCTATGAATCATAAATTATTCCAAAAACTAAATACCCAATATTTTTACACTTTTCTTCATTTTATAAATCTTCTATATCACTTATTATTGTTATTGATACTAAATGTAATTGAAGGATTTATAACAAGCAAAATATTCCTTTTAAAGAGAGTAAATCAAATAATCTTTTCTTTTTCTTTTAATAGTTTTGAAAATCAGGTTAAGTGCAAATACTAAAAAGTATGAAATTGCTCTTTGAATATTATAAAAAACAATATTTAAGTCAAGATATCATTTTAAATAAAAATAAATCTCAAATCTTTTCATTGTTAAGTTCTTGATAATGTTTTTTGGATTCTGAATGTATTTTTGTTTTGTTTTTTAAAGCATGTTTTATAACTCAAAGGTTTAAAAAGTCATTTTCAACACAATTTAAGGAAGTATACTAGTTTTATGAACAAAGAAGTTTTAACTATTTTTGATAACAAGTTTATAATCTCTTCATAATCATATTTAAAAATGATTTTTTTTTAATGGAGATTTGTTCAATTTGTTAGAGTTTCTAGTTTCTTCTGATAAGTTGTCCATCTTATTATTTTTGAATCTTTTCAAAATTTGTTTAAAGAGCTATAGTTCATAAATAATGTATATTTGTTTATTTCTTTTTTTATGTAATTTATCAATCACATTCAGAATCATCTTCTGCTAAAAAGTCGTTTATTGAATTTTCCTCATCCTCATAATCTTCATCATCTTCTTCAACATCATTCTTAATATTAATATCTTCTACATCATCACTAAAATCTACACTTTCTATATTTTTTCTTTTATTTTTTGACTATGCTACTTTTCTAATTTTTTGTTTGATTGGTTTTGGTTCTTTTGGTGGTTTTGGTTCTTTTGGGGGTTTAGGTACTTTTGGAGCTTTAGGTGGTTTCGGTTCTTTAGGAGGTTTTGGTTATTTAGGTGGTTTAGGTTCTTTTGGGGGTTTTGGTTCTTTAGGAGGTTTAGGTTCTTTAGGTGGTTTCGGTTCTTTTGGAGTCTTCTTTGATTTAGCTTCTGTTTCTTTTTGAATAGGATTAGGATTATTCGGATCAGCATTTGCTTCTTATTCTGCCTTTTTTGCAGCTTATTCAGCTTGCTTCTCAGCTTTTAATCTTTGTCTTTCAGTTCTATCGATTTCTTCTTGTTATTACTCAAGAATTCTATCATTCATGAATTTAAAATCTTTCCAAAGTGATTAAAAATTTTAATCAAATTATTATACAAGTTTTTTACTTTTTATTAAAAGAAGGTTTTCTTTATTTGTTGTAACTGCAGACTTTGTCCAGTTAAAGGAACCAGTAGCCATATATTCTGTATCAATTACTAAATATTTATGATGCATTAAGCTAACAGTTGAATTGTCTAATTTGATTTCAGCCTGTGAAAAAAATAAATGTAATTATTTACTTAACCTTTGCCTTCTTCTAATATTTAATCCAAAATAGCTTTTTATGAAGGTATCTTAGTCTAAGCATCATCTGTAATAACTTAAATTTTTAAATTTGGATTCTCCTTCATCATCTACGACATTTTACCCACAATATTTTTATTGGTGAATGTGTATACACATATACGGATATATTGTTTAGCTTGGGAGAGAAATTGAATGAGTTTTTATTCATTTTCTTTAGATGGAAAGAATAAAGGATCAATCGTTACTTATTCAGATCTTTCTTCTTCCATAAATAATATTAAAATTATTCAAAGAGTGTTAATTAATTATAGTAATTTTTATTTCCATTATTGTTTTTCTTCCTCACTCACTTTTGCCAAAGACATTTCGAAACATTCAAATTACAATTTGATGTGTTATTCACTTTCGAATTGGCTAGTGTCAAGGTCATCATTGTTGAATATTTACTAATTTGGATTTTAAATTGTATTTTAATCTTCCAAAGAATGAAAATGATCACTTATGGAATGAGTCGATGCTTATTTGATTTAACTTTATTTTTCTGTTTGATCCATTTTATTTCTATGAATCTTAATAAAATATAATATGATAAAATACTTCAATGGCAAATTATTCATGAAGAGTTAAAAATTATTTTAAATTATCCTCAAACTCTTATAATATTTTTACAAGTTCTTATGAATGAACAACTTGATCATTTTACTTTAAAGTGAATTGAATTTTCTTCAATATTTCAATAAGTGTTTGCCCTCGTGTATGAAACTAAAATTATTTATATATTATACTCCATCACATTAACAACGAGGACTCTAAGTGGATGATAAAAAACCACCTACAGAAGACACATTTGTTTATTTATTGCCAAATGAATCTCGGTCTAAAATAATTTACATCATTTACTAGAGTTGCTGTCTTTTATTTTTTAATGTGATTCAATTTTACCACTTTTTTAACGTTCATCTACATTAGCTTGAATTACTTAAAGTTGAAAATCTTTTTAAGAAAGTTAAAGTTCTAAAATTTTAGATGCATATTTGCAATACTTAAAGTATTTTGATCTTTTTCAGATTATCGTAGAGTTTCTAAGGTTTACTCTAATAATTGTTTGTATTATTTGATTTCGATCTCAAGAGATTTATTACTTTGATAAAGTTTCTAAATTTTAGATAACGAATTACTTGATTATCAGATTAGAGGTTTGGAATTATTTAAGTGTTATAGACTTATTTAGGTGAACCTTCAATGGATTGACTAGAATGAATAATTTCAACATCATCATCATCTGACATTGTTGTACTAATTTAAAATATTATATATTTTTTACTTTGAGAATAAAATATATAAATATAAATATGTATATTTAAACACAATCATTAGTGGATTTTAATTAATCAATTATTAACATAAATTAGAAACTAAATGATGTTGTTATTCGAATGAAAAATATATAAAAGATTTTTTGTTTTATTTATCAATACAATCTCCCCGAATGAACAAATAAAACGATGATGATTATTTGCCTTCATTGCTTAAAGAATTTTAGGGAACCGAAAATGCAGAGGGACAGTCATCTGAATAGCAGAAAGCTAAGTAAGAGTTAAAAATGAAATGCAAGATTGGGGAAATTAGGCCTGATGACTCCAATGAGTAATACTTTAACAACTGACTTTGAGTAAATGACATTAGACACATCACCTAAAGAAAGCCTGATTATTCAAAACAATTAACTCAACGTTGACACTATTGATGAATAAGAAGAGAATATCCATAAATTATAAGTACAAGGAACACATAATGCTTAGAAACATTAAAGTTTCAAGCTACCTAAAGAATAAAAGAGAAAATCTCCAAAACATAAAACATGTTAACCGCAACTGACTGAACCTCCTAGTCAAGAAGTAGATGAAAATCAAGATGCTATCTTAGAGATGCAATCCCCTAGCTCTAATGATACTCCTTAACTAAATGCTCAAACTTTATAATTAATCAAAGAACTCTGGAATTCAGAAAAGAATGAAACTGAATATTTTTAGGATATAATAGATGGTCATTCAATTCCATAAGGATTACAGTATGAATATAGTTATCTTAACTAACCGATTTATTCTCCACCTCTTGAATCTCAAAGTCCTTAGGTACAATTTGAACCAGATATTGAAATGGATCTCTATATCACCTCTTTAGTAGTAATAAACATGGTATTAATATGTAGGATTAACTTTGGGGAAACCAGATTGTAAGTAGAAAACTATAAAAAATGTTAGAACAAGGTACTTAAGAATAAAAAGAATTGATTGCTTAGAAATTAGAACGTATAAGTCCACAAATATAAAAAGATGTATTTGGCAATTATGTGGTTTAAAAAATATTTGAATGCAGTATTATTGATATCAAATTCTAGCTAATCAGAAATTACAATTAAGAATGTTCAATAAATTAAAATCTCATTTTTATGATTTATCTAAAAATAATTTTGGATGCAGAGTTATGTAGAAATTGATTGAATATACATACAATCGTGAAGATTTGTAATTGATTGTACTTTAACAATTATAATCTAACATGAGATCTTTAATCTATGATTTGAATGGAAATTATGTAATTTTTAAAATGTTAGAAACATATGACAAATTAAAAATGGAATTTCTAATTCCCATAGTAGAAGAATCTGTAATTAATTATTCTATATAGTTTAATTATATGGGCTAATAAATATATGGCTGCAAAATCATTCATAAAATAATATAATAATACTCTCCATAACAAATAAGTAGAATAATTAGATTATCTGTGTAGAATTATAGTATACTAAGTCAAACTGAATATGGAAATTACGTTTTATAACATATTTTATAATATTGGAAGCCAAGCTAAGAAAAAGGATATTTGGTTCAATTAGTTATATAATAGTTTTACTAGCTTAGCATCAACAAATACGCAAGGTATATCATTTTATATTTTTAAAGTAATACTGTTGAACGAGCCTTAGAAGTCTTAGGTAAATAAGAATTATTAGCAATAATGAAATGGCTTCTGTGTCGTAGTCCAAATTAATAGTAAATAAAATACGTATTATCATTTTAGCTAAAGCAATTTCGTTGTATTAGCTAATCATCAATATGCGAATTATGTTATAAAGAAATTTCTAGTTTTAAGTGACAACAGTGTACAAAGATATATATCAGATCATTTATCTTAAAATTAATCAGAACTAACAGCCATCAAGTCGACTGTGCATGGTATTAAATTATTCAATAATAATTAGGCCAAAGAATTTATAGCCTTTTGGAGAAACAAATCCAACACTGAGCTTTATGACAAATATCTAATTTCGTTGAATAAATATTAAGAATAAATATATCATGATAAAAATTAATTAAATTTTTTCATATCTTCTTCACTAACTAAAATATCTTCTAAAGAATTTAACAACGAATTCTATTCTTCAATTTAATTCTCTATTTTTTAACTAGCTGTATATTTAAATTGAGCATTAAAAACTATGAGTGCTTTCCTAAATTATTCTCTTGGCAATATTGACATTGTTTCTAATATAGATTCTTTAAACTATATTATATTAACAATTAAATCATCATTTTATATAGCTGTTATATCTTAATTCACTTAAGTTATTTTGTAAATTTCGATAAAGCTTTTAAAATTTGGGTTTTCTTTCATCATCTATTTTGATTATGTAAATTCATAACAATTAAATTCAATTTGTTACATGATTTATCTAGTGCAATTTTAAATTATATTATCTTAAGAATTCATTTTACATTTAATCTCTGTATTTTTAGTATATTAATATATTAATTTATTACTAATGTTAGAATTTTATTATTACATTGCATAAAACTCATTTTTATTAGCAGCTCTATAAATACTAACTTGTTATTACGTAATTGTAAATACAAGGTCTTGCTCAAAATCAAATTTACAATCAGAGTATTAAATAAACTTTTCCATTTCTTATCTAATTAAAATAATTCTTTGATACTTCCTTCTTAACATAAAGCTGCTCCTTGGGAATTTATTTTTATCCTTATTTTCTTCTAACTTCCATTTTTAGTTAACTTTACAATTTTGAATTCCTTATCATATTTAGTTAATTAATAATTCTCATTTTAATTGATATGAGAATCTTAAATATTTTAACTTAATTAACTGAACATATAATCAAGATAAAAGGAATATTTGAATGTCTTTGTAAAAAATAAAATCCTAAAAGGTTGTTCATTTTTACGCAACTTACGTTTTATACTAATTCCACCTTATGATGGTTCATTCTTTTAATGTGTTATTATATAAAGTTGATACTAGAGCTTCCCTGAGTTAATTTTATAATTTTACCATTCAAATTCAATTCTTTGATTAATTCATTGATAATTTAACCAATTGTGGTTCCTCTATTATATCTTATTTTAGCATATTGTTTCATATCTGATTTATAGTAAACTTTAACAGAATCATCCTCGTATTACTATTGTGACAAATTTCGAAAAGAATTTGTAAATAAACTCATTAAATTATAAACTCATTTTCTCATATAAGGATGATTTTATGCTTAATGAATGTCAAATCTATCATTTTAATTATAACTTAAGCATCCTTTTATAAACTCTATGCATTCATTTGACAAAGCAGGTTTCTTTGGAAATGTTACACTTTCAGATTTTAAAATAATCTAATATTTCTTATTATATATTTACTTTTTATTTTAATATTGTTTCTTAACTTTCACCATTTCCAAATGGTTTCATCCCATATAACATTTCAAAAAAGATTACACCAATTGACCAAATATCAACCTTATTCGATATTATTAAACGACTTTTATTTTCTTATAGAAAACATTCTGGTGGCAAATACCAATAAGTCCCAACTGCTTAAGTAGAATATTCCAATTAAGAATTTTCTTATTCTAATTCTTTGCATAATCCAAAATCACACAGTTTTACTTCATTCTAATTAAATAGGATATTTTAAGGCTTTATATCATAATGAATAATTTTATTCATATGAATATACTTTACTGCTTCAAGTAACTGTTAAATTATTAATTTTGCTTCTCTCTCTTATATACTACTATATTTCCTCATGAAATAAGATAAATCTGAACCATTACAATATTCTAATATTGTGCAAAAGGTATTAGAATCAATCTCAACAGAATCATATAATTTTAATATATTTGGATGCTATAATTCTTTATGTACCTTGAACTCTTTTGTTACTAAATTAACATAATATGATTTAGAATTAATAGTCCAATTTTAATTTAATTAGTGTATTTTACAAGCTACATGTTTCATCTCTTTTAAATCATAACCCTATAATATAACAATAGATTTTATACCTTGTAAACTTCACTAAAACCACCTTTACCAAGAAGTGATAATAAAATATATCTCTCTCCTATTACAGGATATTAATCTACACTTTTAAATTTTGCATGTAATTCATCATATTCTAATTTTAATTCTTTGAGAAATAACAATTTTTTATTCTCTAAAATATTTAATTATTTCTATAAGCATTTCTTTTCTCTTTAAAGAAACAAATAATTTAATGATTCAATTTATGTTTCAATTTTCAAATACTTAGTTTAATCTTCATATTCTACCAATTATTATTCAATATCTTGTATTTTTTATTTGAGATCAATAGTTTCTTTACCATCTACCCAAACTTATTTAATTATTTTATTTTCTCTTAAGTATTAATATTATCCTAATTTTTTTTTATTATTTTCAATTGTCAAATTCCTATCATTCCTTTAACACTAATCTAATTCAATTACGAAGGCTTTGATTGCAGTTTCATATTTAAATGATGAAGTTTTAAAAAACTAATTTATTATAATATTTATACTTAAATTTATTATGTTAATTGTTCGATTTACTATTCTAGTTATTAGATATGTGAATCCTTTATACCTAATTCATTTAAGTTAATTTTAAGAGTATCAATCTTATTATATTCAATATCTTCTCTAATTAAGGTCTTTTTATTATATTATTTATTTTGCTATTTATTTTAAGCATGCTTTGTAAACTAAGTAATTTATAATTGTTTTAGGAGTGTTTAATCAGATATAGATTTTGGTGGTTGTTTAGCTAAAAAAGAACAAAGAAGAAATTGCTACCTTCAATTTCAAATGATTAAATGCTTTCTTATTAAAATTATTGTATAATTTCAATTTTTGGTTTCTTAAGAATATGAACTTCAAAGTCAGGTAATCTTTCTTAGTAATTTTCTGAAAACTGATTACTATCCATTATCAGAAATAATGCTACTATTTATATTTGATAAATAGTTTCATTAAGTGTTATAAAAATTTAAAGGATAAAATCATTAGAATAGAATAATTATGATATAACATCAATAAATTATAGTTCAATAATTATCTACAATGTTATTAATTATGTTGAATAAATTGAATATACTAAAACTTTTATTTATTTAATAAATAAATATGCAATTAGTACAATGTAATGTTTGTGTGGCATCATTTGATCTAAGTTAAGAGGCAATTAAAGTTTAAGTTAATGAAAGATAAGGTGATAGTAAATAAGCAAATGTGAAACTATAAATAAATTTAAGAGAAGATTGTTTAATAACTCATTTAATTTTGAAATGGAGTGATACTTAAATAAAAGGATTCGCATTTACATCCTTAGAATGTTTGGATTGTTTTGATTAAACATACAATCGTCTGATCAATAGTAAAGAAGTTGTAAATGCTGAATAATGTAATAGTCAATACAAAATTGTTGGTCTTGGATTTGGTCGGAAACTTAGACTTTCTTTTAGTGTTTGTGAACCTCCTTAATAATTAGAAAATAAACTTAAAGCTAAACTATCAATATAAGTTTATGGCTATTCATTATATTAATCTCCTGCTGCAAATTAAATGGTAGCTCTTTTAAATATTAGTCACATCTTCAAAAAAAATAATAGAGAAATTAATTAAGCTGAAGCAGATATTCTTTTAGGCTTATCTCTTCTTTCTTCAAGAAGATTTGTTTAAGCTGCAGAAATATTCAAAAAAGTAGCTAATTTTTATGCTGAAAAAGCTTAAATTTTGGTTAAGCAAAAAGATTTTTATTTTTTAAGAGCTAGTGGACTTTAAATATTAATAGCTGATTCAATTAATTAACCTTCTATGTTAAATGAAAAACTTTAAGCATTGAAATATGCTGTCTAATATGTTAATATTTAATACGATAAGACATAATTACTTTTTACATTACAAAATACAGATTCATATGAATGTATACTTAGACTTTCAGATGATCTAATTAAAATCATAAGCAGAGTACTTCTTTTAGAAGATAATTAAAATTTTGATGCTTTAAGAATGGCAAATATGAGATGCTTAGAATTTATAATAGAATAACTTGGTTGTGGATTAGGTGGATAAATTATTTAGATATTTAAGTTATTTTTGAAAATGTTAAATTAATAATAAGGATAATTGATAGTAGAAATGATTTATAAAATAGTAAATATGATATTGTAAGAATTAAGTTAAGCTACTCTCAAACTCATTCAAGATATTTGGAATCAAACTATTATTTAAGGATTATTTGATGTCAATATTGAAGGATAAAAATTAATTATGAAAATTTGTGAATATTTATTATAAGCTGATTAAGCTCACTTTAGAATTGATATTTTATTCTTGAAGTAATTAAATTAAGTCGAAGAATCTAAAATATGGAATCTAGTATTACAGAATATTATACCTAAATAAAATGAAAAAAAAATCAGCAAAATAATTGCTTGGGCTAATTAACAATTAATAGAATCCTTAAATTTTACAAATTACAACAATTTATCACAATCTCAATAGTATTAAATAATTAAGTTATTATAACTAATATCCATTATAGTAAGATAATAAAAAGAAGAATCTTAAATTCCATTTTTTGAAGAGATTCTAAATAAATAATTAACAAACAACATTAAGATTAAATAACTCTATACTACTGCCAATTAAAACCTAATTACTTTAAAACCAATTCTAATTAAATTATTAGATCAAACAGTAAAAGGTAAGATTCAATTTGATTGTTTTGAACTTGTTTGGAATATCCTTATAGAAATTTTAATTGATGGAAATGAATTTGATCAAATGTATGAACTCATTAATCCTTTTCTATAAAATATATTTCTAATATGCTAAACTACATCCCCTGGATAAGATATTTTAGTAGTTTTGGATAAAATACTTAAAACTATTTAATTTTAATGTCCATAACTCATATAAAAATTTGAATCATAAATTTATTCATATGTTGAAATTTTTTGCTAAAGAGTACCTCATAGTATTCATGATGAAACTTTTAAAATATTTGATATCTTGATTGCTTTCAGTTAAGAATTTTTAGATTAGGCATTAATTGAGAAATGTGTAATGGCATTAATTGATTAATATACTGTTAAAGGATAAGCTTAAAAATAATCAAAATAAAATTTTATTAAAATGATTGTTTAATATTAAAATCATTTCTATTCATTGATATAAGTATGTCTAATATAAAATCAAGAGCCTTTAATTCAATCAAACTTAATTTCAGAGAATAAAAAGGAACATAAATAAGATAGAGAAAAAGTTAAGAAAGAATTTAAATCTGATAACAAGTAATTAACATAGGAATATGAAATTTTTAATGAAAAAGTACAATTTATTTGTGAATTATTTTCTGAAATGGGATAACAATTTAAAGTAGTAGCTTAACTAATTTAAAATAGTCCTGATTTTATTTAATCTTTAATTAATCTAATTAAATCACTTAATTCAAAAATAAGATAAAAAGGACATTTAACACTTTAGCTTCTTATGGAATGTTTTATAAATATTGAAACAAGTACAAGAATAAAATTTTTTGAGGATAGAATAATTTTTGTTAAGTTTATTAAAGATATATTAACCCATTCACTCTAAGATAAAACTGATTCTAAATGTATTTTAAATTCATTGCTTATTTTAAATAACATATTTAATTTGAAATTTTAAAAAAGTGAATATTCAAAGGTTTTAGATGAAGTATCAAGTTTATGGAATGAAGTATCAGATTTAATAGATACTCCATTTAATAGTATTTATGTATTATTTTTTGATCTTTTGAATCAATGGGGACAATTATTAAATAAAATGCCTAATTCAACTAAACTTGATGATTTTATAGAAAGGATATTTTTATGGACCTAAGAAAAGTTAGATTGTTAGGAACCATGGCATTAGTATAATATTTTAAAATTTTGTGGTTATATTTTTGGATTAGATTCTGGTAAGAATTTTAGAGTATTTCCTTCTATAAACTCTTCTTTTTTTGAATAAGCAAGTAAATTGTAGAATAGTTAAAATAAATAATTATAATTAATGTCGATAGTAATGATTTAATTGTGTACTCCTGAATAAATAGCAATAAGGATAATTTAATAAATGGCTGAGCAATACAATTAACTTAGGCATCGATAAAATAAATAAAGAGATTAAATTAATAGATAATCTGAAAATATAATTCAATAATTATTTTAGAGATAGAATTCTTTTAAAGATTTAATGATGTAATCAGATACTTTTGGATCAACATCAATGGATGAATTTGAGTTAAATTAAGAAGATTTTTTGTGGATTCGTAAAGTTGATTAAGAAATTTTATCTCAATGTTTACAAACTTTATTTATGTATTAGGTTTAATAGGAAAGTAAAATTAGATAATCTGATATTTTAGATAAAGAAATTAGCATGAAATAAAGCAATAATTTAAATTAAAATACAAATAAGAATATATTGGATGATGATCCAATAGATTTAGATGATTTAGGAATTATTGAAGTAGATGATGAAGAATGGAATGAATACGATGATTTGAGAAAAATTCCAATTTTAAAGGAAAGAATTAAAACAATATCACCTCACATTGGAAGTAGAACACCAAATGTAGGAATAGGAAAATAAAGTTAAGAAAGAAGATCTAGTGGAAATAGATAAATATTTGATTAAAGAAAAGGAGAAGTAGAAGATTAAGTTTTAAAAACTTTAAGACCTCACAATTAAGTATTTAGACCTTTGACACCTCCTATTGGATAATAACCATAATCAAATTCTTAAGTAACAACAACTGAAATTTAAAGAGATATGTAATTATTTTCTGATTATATGTTACAAAATCCATAATAATTTTAGAAAATTATGGAAGAAATTAAAATTAATAATAATACTAATTCATAATCTTAATTATAACAGCCTATAATTAATAATGAATAATAGGATTCTTAGTTCGAAAATTCAAGAAGGAGAGTTGATGAACTAGAGTTTGATCCTCAATTTTCAAATTCAAGTTAGGATGATATTACAGATGAACCATAAATTAAATCTAATTAATAGTATAATTTGTAATTTTATTAGACATTAACAAAAAAAGAAGAAATCTAAAAAATAGCCTTCTGTTAAAAAACTTAAATCACCTATTCACCAATCTTTGTATCAATCTTTAAAGCAATCAACCTCTCAATTAAATGGAAAAAGTGATGAGAAAAATAAAAAAAAGACAAAAACTAAATAATCTTGAGATTAATATGAGTAACTTCAATTTACTTAAATTTTAATCAAAGTTAGAATATTTTAAAATAACAAATTTACTGCTAATATTTAATTATATAATCAAATTATTTTTGACTTATTGAAATATTATTCTCTCTGTTTCATCATAAATTTTGATCTTTATATAATAATTCTATCAAATGACAATATGAGACTTAAAAAGATAAGATTTTTAGGCAGACCTATAATAAAAAGATACAAAATTTAAGTAATTTAAAATGATATTATTTTAAAAGAAGTACTAATTAAAAAAAAAGATTATCACAATTAATTTTTAAAGAAAATGGAGACCAAAATTAAAATAATTATGATATATTCTATTATGTATATTACAGGAAACTCTGATTAAAATAATAAAATAATCATAAAACTCCTTTCCTTATTATCACAATTGTAATATAAACAAAAAGTTTTTAATCGTTATCTGTAGAGAGAGAAATAAATATATTAATGAACTTTAAATACAACGATCTGGAGGACATTAAATTAAATATACTAAAAATAATTCACGATAAATGAGATATTCTAATTTATAAAACAATTTTAATCTGATATTTATATTTTCTTCAAGCCAAAAAAATACATCTAAAAGATTTAATAATAATGAATATATTTGATAAAATAATATTATATTTTTTTAACTTAAAGTATTTAAAAATACGAAAACTTAAAATTGTTCGTTATTAATAAATATATATCCTAAATTAATCTAGTAAAAATAAATTTAAATAAAATATTATTAACGTTATTGAATTGAAATCTGCTTATAATATATCAATTGATAGGAAAAAGATTGGTTTTAGAAGTAATAGTAAGATTGATAAATATAAAGAAAAATAATAATTCATAAATTAGAAAGGAATGATAAAATAAAGATAGGTAAATAAAAGAAAGGATTAAATATATAAAGATCGTGTATTAATTATAGATTTAAAAAATAGTTTTAGGAATAGTTTGTTAAAATATATATTGAGATTTATGAATTAATAAATTTATATATGTATATCTGGAAGGGAGGGATAGTGTTTATATTGATATAGATGGGATAATGTCAGAACTCAGTAATATCAATAAATACAGAGATAAGTGGAACAGCATTATCAATGTTCTTTATATTCTTTTTTTTGGGGATTGGATCATTCATGAAGGAGATTAATAAGAAATTAAAGGTAAAAGTATGAGAAATGTTATAGATTCCATTTTCTCCGATGTTATTTGTTTTAGGCTTGTTTTTTGGTTTTTATTGGGATTCATTGGGTATCATAGGACAAAGTTGTAAGAAGATCAGCGAAATTGAACCGGTACTAATATAGGGATGTATGTTTACAGATTGGAGTATTGTTAATATTTTTACCGACGTTAATATATGAATCAGGATACAACTTTGATTGGCATTTATTCAAGAGACTATTTGCATAGACAGCAATATTGGCATTTCCTTGTGTAATAATATTATCTACATTATTGTAATTGTGTGTAAAAGTATTACTAAATTATGGTGATGATTATTTTACATGGGAGAGTGCTTTCATGTTTGGAGCAATGTTGAGTTGTACAGATACAGTTGCAGTGTTGGCGTTATTAAAAGAAAGTGGAGCATAAAAGAGATTCTAGAGTTTAATAGAGGGAGAGAGTTTATTAAATGATGGAGCATGTGTTATGTTATTTTAAATATCATATGGAATAGTAAGAGGAAGATCAGCATCTGCATTTGATGTAGGATCTTTATTTTTTACATTATGTGTAGGTGGAACATTAATAGGATTAGTATTTGGAATGGCATGTGTTTATTGGATTAAGAAGATAGTAAATGATGATATTCTTGTATTAAATATAACAATAGTGTCAGCATTCTTAGTGTATTTTATATCTGAAAATGTTGATTTTGGTGTACATATATCAGGTGTGTTGGGATTAGTATCATTAAGTTTATTTATGGCAGCATTTGGAAGATCTCGTATATCACATGAAGCTGATCATGCATTAAGAGAATTTTGGGAATATGTTGTTTTTGCAAGTGAAGTTATCATTTTTATTTTGGGTGGAATTATTGCAGGAATTAGAGTATTTAAAGATGAAAGTGAAATTACATAATTAGATTTTTATAAAATGATTGCATTATGGTGGTGTTTAATTGGATGTAGATTTATTTCTATTGCTCTTTTTTATCCTTGGCTTAACAAATTAGGTTATGGATTGAGTTGGTCTTAAGTTATTGTTTTAACTTATGGAGGATTAAGAGGATCTATAGGTATAGCTTTTGCTTTAATTGTTGCCAAAGATGACTCATTACCAACTAAATGGAGAGATATTATATTATTTCATATGTCGGGAATTGCTGTTTGTACTCTTGTTGTTAATGGAACTACTCTATCTTTATTAATTAGATTGCTTGGATTATCCACTTAATCTGATATTAGAGAAAAAATTTATTCTAATTTCTTATCCAAATTAAATGAAGAAATTGATAATGAATGTAAAAAAAATAATGAATTAAAATATCTTAAAGAGGCTGATGTTGAATATGTCAAAAATCTTAGTGGTTATAAAGTATATTTAGCAGAATCCAATAAAATTATTGATAAATTAGCTAAACATGAAAAAGCATTAAAAGAAATTTAAATGAAAAATATCCATCAACCATTAATTGATGATGAAGAAGATTAAGAATTAGATCAAAATTTATTAACTGAAATCAGAAGAATCTTTCTTATGGCATTGAAAGGTATCTATATGGAAGAATTTGAATCCAATTAATGTAGTCCTGATACAATTATTTTGTTAACTGAAAGTGCAAATTTAGATCTTGATAATGATAAAGAACCTATGAATTCATGGGAATTTTTATAGAGTCAGTTTTCAGAAAGATACATTAATTTATTATTTTATATCAAAGATAAATTTATTATTGGAGTTTTAGCTCGTAATTAATTATTTTCATATATCTATACAATTTATGATGCTGTTTCAGCTTATATTGAAGCTATTTCAATTTTAAAAGAAGAAGCTTCACATTATCATTTTTCATAAAATTTATTATCAGAAATCTTGAATGAAGTTGAAGATAATAAAAAATCTGCTGTTTCATATTTGGAAGGATATTTAGAAGTATCATTTCCTGAAATTTCTAGAGAATTACATACAAAGAAAGCTGCATTTGAAATATTAGAATTTGAAAAATAAGTATTAAGAAACAATCTTTAATCTGGTTAATTAAATGATAAAGAATTTTTGAGGATGAAAAGAAATATAGATAAAAAAGTAAAAAATTTAAATGATTTAAATCCACCTTGGTAAATGCCATCTTTAGTTGATATACTGACACAACATGAATTATTTAAATCACTTTCATCAGCAAATATAATTAAATTATTAGAAGGTTCAAGAGAGGATTCATTTGGAAGAGATTAATTAATTTATAAAGAAGGAGATAGAGCTAGTGAAATCTGTATTATAACAAGAGGAGCTGGAAATGAATTTAGTGATAGATCAAAAATAAGAGAGAGAAGAACTTTGAATGATGCTACACCAATTTACATGTTAGTTGCTCCATCAATCAGATATTAAACATCGTTAGTAGCAGATTGTGTCATCAATGCAACTTTTATCAAAATCTAAGCTTTATAAACCATTATGAAATAAACCCCAGAGTTTGAAGAAGCAATATGGAGATATTCTATTCCTCTTTTATGTAGAGTTTATAGTGATCAATTAAGACCTTTATGCAATCTAAAAATAAACTAGATAATTGAAGTAGTATCAAAGTCTTTGTTTTAGAAGATGAAGAAGAATTAACTAATTCGATTTGAGTAAGGAGGAATATTATTAAAAGGTAGAATCAATTTATTTATAAATAGGTACATTATGTGATGCAAAGGAAAGTATTTAGGAAGCATTTTCAGAAGAAGAGGATGCTTTGAAGAATATAGAGGAAGATAAAGATTCAACATAGAAAGATGCTTTATGTTTGATAGGACCTACATCATAACCATTAAGAGCCAATACTGGAATAATTATTTTACTATTTAAGTAGTATCAATTGCTTGAATAATATAATCAATTGAATCAGACAATTAATGAAGGAGGGAAATCTTCTTATAGAAGATCCAGCAAATCGGATCTATAAAAAAGATCTTTGACAGTAATACATTGAAGAGTTAAATTTGATTTGATTAACTTTCATTATTAAATGATATTCTTATCAACCCTAATCAAAGTTGTCTCAATCACAACTGTTGTTTTGTTAGCAGGTGGATCGACTTATTATTATTTATAAAATGATAACAGCAGTAAAGTGTAAGAAAAACACTTAAAGGGAAGTCATCAATTATTACATAACAACAATTTTCATCATAGAAAAATGGAAGATGAAGAGATACATATTTGCAATCATGGCCACTTCATAAAAGAAATTGAAATAGAAGAGCCAGAGCGTTCAACAGAGATTCCATTGGAAGCTAGGTTGTCACATGAATAAATGTTAATTAAGAATCATAAATAAGGAAATTGGTAAACAATAAGAATAAAGACAGATTATTCATCCTTTTAGGTATAAGATTGATTTAATTATGATAGGCATCAGCATAATAAGCTGATTTCATCGAAAATAAATTAGTGAAAGCAGCAACAGGATTTTTAAAAGCTGCCATAAAAGTTTATCCTTCATCAAAATTATTTTTAAGTGGATAATGTGGTACAGTAACAATTCCAAGTTCATTAAAAAATGGTGTGACTGGAGTTGATTTAGTATTATTTGTGACAGCAACAACTTCATAAGAGAATTGGGTTGCAAGAGCAGGAGCATGTAGATTAGATTCAACTACTTTGAGACCAACAGCTGGTTCATTAGAATTCAATTTGAAATACTTTAATTAATTAGATTTCAGTAAATTAAGTGAGGGTAAATGGTTTAAATGGATATAGACAACAATTCATGAAATAACACATGTTTTAGGATTTAGTAGTGGATTATTCCCCTATTATATAGATCCTAATACAATGTAGAAATTAGGTTTAAGTTAGATAGTAAAATCATATGGAGGAAGAGATTGGATAATATTACCAAAAGTAGTAAATGCAGTAAAAAGTCATTTTGGATGTTAATCTGCTTGGGGAGCTCCTTTAGAAAATAATGGAGGATAAGGAACAGCTGGAAGTCATTGGGAAAGAACAGCATTTGGTAATGAAGCTATGACTGGATCAGAATTCCCAGATTCAGTTTTTACTATTTTTACTTTCAATTTACTTGAATCAACAGGTTGGTATAATATGGATCATAAATAATCTGAACCTTTCAATTGGGGAAAAGATGAAGGATGTCCTATAGCATAAGGATAATGTGTTTAAGGATTAAGAGAATTTTGTAAAGCAGGAAGTGATGGATGTTCATCTGATTTTACTGGAATTGCTACTTGCTCATTAAGTGATGTATTAACTGATGGCTGTGGATATTGGAAAGCATATGGTAATACTGATTGCAGATACAACTCTGATTTTATTGGTCAATTAGCATAATATGGTGGATATTATGGAAATGATAGTAAATGTTTCTACACTACTTTACCAACTAAAGTTGGATTTTAAAGAGTAGTGACTGATTGTTTTAAAGCTCTATGTTAAAATAATGTCATAACATTTTCCATTTCAAATAAGAGCTACTAATGCGTTACATCTGGACAAGTAAATATTTTCTTATTCTTATTAGACCATCAATGTCAAATATTCCTATTATAGTGCAACTGTCACTTGCCCAGATATTAAACATTTCTGTAATACTCAAAGAACTTGTCCTAATGCTTGTAGTGGAGTTGGTACATGTAGAGGAACAACATGTTATTGCTGGTCAGGATATAGTGGAGCAGATTGTTCAATATCCTCATGATTAATCAAAAAAATTAAATCATTTCGAAAATCCTATTATATAATATATATCAGTTTTATTATCTTTATATTCCCACTTATAATCTCTAAAATGTTACTTTTATATCTTACACTATTTACTCATTTTTAAATACATATACTAATCTTCTCATTTAACTATTTAATTAATAAATCTTTCTCTAAAAATAAACAAAAAATTCCACTAAATTTTATTATAATCTGAAAATTAATCATTCATCAATTACTAACTTAGTATCTTTTAATTTCTAAAACTGCCTTTCCTCTTATCTTCTAATGAAAAAAGTAATATTTTTAAAGTTCAATTTATTTTTTATAAGAATCCCTCTTCCACTTTTTAGATTATAGATTTGTATTTAATAAATAATTCAATAAAAAATTTGTATTATATTCAATTAAAAACAATTATTGAAATTCAAATTTTAGAAATAAAAACAATTAGCCATTCAAATATTAATAAAATAATTTACACAACTAAGAAAATATAATATTTTAAAAAATATACATATATCACAATTAAAACTTACAAAACCATATTTTAATTAAAAATTCATGACATCATAATAAAAGATAGGGGTCCTTGGGATGGAACAAAGAAATTATCTCTAATGGATGTTGCTCTATTCGGAGTTTGTGAAGCTATTCTTCTACGATTAGGACTTGGCTATAAACTTTTATAAATATGCTATTATTAAGATTTGATATCTGATTAGTCTTCCCATTCATTTGCACTTGTACTGAGTTTTCTTTGATTTATACTTTGTATATCTAGAATCAGCAATTCTTTTTAAGGAACCCGATTTTGATTCTCCTCATAGTTATTATTTATAACAGGTTGTGTTTATAATGCAATTTTCTATTCGATTTCATTAAAATTAAGAATTTTTATTTTTTAGAGTAATTCTTCAGGTAGTTAAATTAATTATTTTATCTCTAAAAATCTTTTAACTTATTTCGTTGCTCTTATCCTTTTTACTTATTCATCTTATTTATTGAGAGATTCATATAAGAATATAATATCTATAATTAATTTGATTGTAATGCATTTGATAATTGGCACATCTAACTTCAGAATGAGAACTTCAAGTTATCTATGCATTTTATACAAGATGTTTATTTATTCATAATTGTTAGAGAAACATCTAAGATAGCTACAATAGAGAAATGCAACATTTTACAGTACAGCATCAGCCGTACTCTTAGACTACAGTTCAATTGTTTTATCTGTTACATAAGGGGCTAAATATTGCCTTAGCATATGAACTAAATAATAAGATTTAAGCGCAGTTATTGTTTTTTGTGGATGCTGCATTCTNAATCTTCTCATTTAACTATTTAATTAATAAATCTTTCTCTAAAAATAAACAAAAAATTCCACTAAATTTTATTATAATCTGAAAATTAATCATTCATCAATTACTAACTTAGTATCTTTTAATTTCTAAAACTGCCTTTCCTCTTATCTTCTAATGAAAAAAGTAATATTTTTAAAGTTCAATTTATTTTTTATAAGAATCCCTCTTCCACTTTTTAGATTATAGATTTGTATTTAATAAATAATTCAATAAAAAATTTGTATTATATTCAATTAAAAACAATTATTGAAATTCAAATTTTAGAAATAAAAACAATTAGCCATTCAAATATTAATAAAATAATTTACACAACTAAGAAAATATAATATTTTAAAAAATATACATATATCACAATTAAAACTTACAAAACCATATTTTAATTAAAAATTCATGACATCATAATAAAAGATAGGGGTCCTTGGGATGGAACAAAGAAATTATCTCTAATGGATGTTGCTCTATTCGGAGTTTGTGAAGCTATTCTTCTACGATTAGGACTTGGCTATAAACTTTTATAAATATGCTATTATTAAGATTTGATATCTGATTAGTCTTCCCATTCATTTGCACTTGTACTGAGTTTTCTTTGATTTATACTTTGTATATCTAGAATCAGCAATTCTTTTTAAGGAACCCGATTTTGATTCTCCTCATAGTTATTATTTATAACAGGTTGTGTTTATAATGCAATTTTCTATTCGATTTCATTAAAATTAAGAATTTTTATTTTTTAGAGTAATTCTTCAGGTAGTTAAATTAATTATTTTATCTCTAAAAATCTTTTAACTTATTTCGTTGCTCTTATCCTTTTTACTTATTCATCTTATTTATTGAGAGATTCATATAAGAATATAATATCTATAATTAATTTGATTGTAATGCATTTGATAATTGGCACATCTAACTTCAGAATGAGAACTTCAAGTTATCTATGCATTTTATACAAGATGTTTATTTATTCATAATTGTTAGAGAAACATCTAAGATAGCTACAATAGAGAAATGCAACATTTTACAGTACAGCATCAGCCGTACTCTTAGACTACAGTTCAATTGTTTTATCTGTTACATAAGGGGCTAAATATTGCCTTAGCATATGAACTAAATAATAAGATTTAAGCGCAGTTATTGTTTTTTGTGGATGCTGCATTCTTAAAATAATTTTCTTAAGAGCTTCTTGAGAGTTTACATTATTTAATTCTCCTCCAAGACATTTTTAAAGAATCTATAATAATTCTTTTAAGGTACAAGTATGTGCTTTTGCTTTGGAGTATCATCAATTAAACATTTGAGCCAAGAAGTCTCCACCATATCCTTATTCAATATTCGCATATTTCGCTTTAAGTTATTGAACATTTATAAAGAATATATATTTATTCGATTTTTAAACAAAATTAGATTATTATATATTGAGTATAACTTACCTTGTTGCATTAATTCTTAGTTTATATATAAATAATAAAAATGGAAAATAAATAGTCCATTTAAATTCATATTAACTTATCTTAGTTTATATCAAAATAAAACAAAGAAGAATAATCTGCTCAGCTATATGAACATTGGCATCAATTAATCAAACAAAAATTATAAGGGAGTTAACAAAATGATACTCGCAAATTAATGAATCCAAGATTATCTGAAACTCAATAAAGAAATAGAACGCTTACACCAAATCAGAATATATAAAAAGACTAAGACATCATTAAAGATATATAAAATATCAAGTTTAGATTGCATAAAATAGATTGAATTATTTAAAGTAGCAAACTAGCAAATATATACAATTTTGAATGAATATTTGTTTGTATTCATTAATATCAAACAATAAATTTTACCTAATAATATGCATTAATTTATAATTTGTAAACTTATTTATTAGAATATATAAGTATTTTTCAAGACACTTTTTTTTTCGATTTATTTAATTAGAATTTGAAATTTGATTGAGATTTTTTTATAAATCCTCAATAAAATAATTATTCAATTAAATATATATAAAAGATATATCGATGAAATTTATGCAAAAATGCAACAATTTAGTTATTTGAATCTAATTCTAACCTGTTTTGTGAAATAATTTAGTTTCAATCTCTATAAAATATAAATTCTCGTAGATTTTATCAAAACTCAATTTTTACATGTCATCATTTTATTAGAGCATGGGTTAAATTAAGTTAAGATTATGAAAATCAAAATAACGTATGATTGTTCTTATATTGATGATCAAGATCAATCATAGAAGCATGATGTTTAGTTATTGTATTAAAAAATTATATATTTATTAATGGGGAACCACAATTCCTTTTCATCAGAAAACGTTCAAGATAGTTAAAAAATGTAGATGGTAATTTCCTTTAATTATGTTTAGATCCATTGGTATGTTGAGGTAGAAAAAGAAGTCTAAAAATTAGGATTTAATGTTAATGTTAGATCTGATCATCTTCATAAACAAAATTTTATGCAATTATATTAAATAGTTAAACCAAAATATGAAGAAGTAGTAACACTGAGTACTACAGAATCTCTGTTTGCAACTGAGTTTGAGAATATCAAAAGATCGAAGAAAACTCTAGATCCTTTTAAAGAATTCTTTGTTACTACTTTGATTTAGGACAATGATCCCTGTTTATAAAAGTTTGAATAACAAGTACTTCAATAACTATCAACATTAAATGGTTGCTTGTTGGAAATTTTTTAAACTTTTAGACAAACTTAACTGCCTAATTGCAGTAAAGAATTAGATAAATTTATTATTAGATTTCGAGATTCATTTGTTTAAGTAAGTAATTCTAGATATTTAATTTAGATCTTAATTCATTACTATGATTTAAATTTATTTGCTTCCCTAAATAAATGTCATTTCTTAAATACTTCTTCTCTTCAATGTTTAGTATCTAATATGATTTTTGATGATCAGGTTGCCTCACATCTTTATCAAATTAAAAAGCTAGAATAAATAGAAGACAATGAGAAAATACACAATAAATTATAATCATTCAAAGAAAGAACACTAGCAGATTTTGGAATTTCTATTAAATATTGTCTAGATTGTACTACAAGAGATTATATATAAAGTAAATTATCATTAAAAGCTAATACATCTATTTAAAATTCAATGACTTTTACAAGAGATATTGTTGAGACACTAATAATAGAAGATGTTGATTCTATTCAATTACCATCAAGACCTCAAGCAAAATTATTATAAGGAACATTTTTCTAACAATCCCCATTTTAAAATGCTATTGAATCTTTAAAATTAATTTAATTTCGATAAACTCCTCATCATAAAGTTAAATAATTAGTCGTTTGTTTCAGAAGTATTTATTCTGCCATAATTGACTATTATAACTAATACACAAGATAGCCTTCAATAATAAGCACAGATGAAATGATTCCAATTTTTCACTATGTAATATGTAAATCATCACTTCAAAATCCTTATACTCATTTCGAGATCATGTAAAAGTATTTAGGCAATTTAGACGGAGTTGAAGGATTCTATTTAGCTATTATGGAAGCAGTATTTAACTTAAATTGATAAATTATTATATGATTTTTTCTCTTTGCAACAAATAATTAATTTATTATAGAATTTTACTCATTTTTTTAAAATGCAAGACTAATTTGATTTATCTCCAAATTTATCACAACAAATGAATCGGTATTCATACTAAAATTATAACCTAAAGAATTTAATTTGAGATTAAAAAAAAATAACTAAGCCAATAAGAGTAATTAGATGCGAATAGCAAAAAAATTGAAGAATTAGAAAAAATAGTTTTTTAGTAATTATATAATTTAATAAACATGTAGATTATAAAATGAAAATGAAAAAAAATAAAAGGAAATTGATGATTTAGTTAATGTATAAAAGAAGTAACTACAATAATTAAAATTAGGTTTGCGAAAGATATATTATAATTATGGAAATCAATAAATGCCGTAGGAAAAACAAAAAGTTTTGATTCCTAAATGAATTCATAACTCTTATTCAAATCTGATTCATACACATTAATGTAATTTCTGATAACAAAAATTAGTTAGAAAGAGTTAGAAAGTTAAGCTAAATAAGCAATTCAAAAAGAGATATCAGATAGATTCTCATAAATATAGGATAGTTTAATAAAAAGGTCGGAATTTGAAAACTCTATCAGAAAAATTCAAGAGTAAATTGAAAAATTCAAGCTTTAATTGTAACTACTATATTGATTCCTAGAATTCCAGAGCCAGAAAACTACATAAAAAAAAGAAATTCTTTATAAGAAAATTATAACATGTAATTTAACTTTTAAATGAATTAAAATGATCTAAAAATTTAAACTTTGCAAAAGTAACAAAAAATTAATTATATTTAAGCTAATCTGACAGAAATGAACAAATTTTTATTTTAGATACCTATATAGAATAGAAATAAATTTGAAGTTAATAATAAACACTAGTCTTATTAAATAATTATTTTTATTTTAATTGAAATCAAAAAAATTTATCTCAGGCTTTTTAAATTCTTCGATATTTTGATAGTGGTAGTAAAATTAATTAATTATGACTTTCTCAAAAAGGTTGGTGAGAACATAAGAGTAAATAAAATAACATGAAAAATCAATAAGTTAAAACAGGAGAAATTTTACAAAGTCAGAGGAATTAGAAGTAAAATCGGATAAAAGTGACTTAATCTATACAATTTTTAAAGTCGATACATGAGATAAAAAAAGGGAAGGGAAAATTGATTCTAAAACTTCCCATTTTAGCAAATGATTGAAGAAATCTAAATAATCTAAGCTTTAAAAAAATATTAGATAAAAAAACAAATGCTTTTACACAGCATTTGGGTTTTAGTTATTTAAATTACTAATTATTAAATTTGATTAGAATTAATATAATTAGTTTATTAATAATATATTGAATAATATTAGTTTTAAAATTCAATATGAAAATATTAATTTAGAAGATGAAAAATTATAAAGTTAATTAAAAGAAGAGTTTCTTTTTAGAATAAATTTAATTAGAAATATAAAAGATAAATAGGATAGATAAAATAAATTAATTAAACATTTTCAAGCTTATGAATAAGAAGAAGAAGAATAATTAATTGATGGATGTTTTTATGCTTTATCAACTATTTTCTTTAGAAATTTAAGTTTATATATAATTGAATAAAGTGAATAAAAAGATATCTTCTTAGAAAAAGATGTACTTTTAAAATGGGAAGTTGAATGTAATGATAATGAAATAGTAAT